CAGCTTCTGACATCCCCTTGACATTTGGGAGGAGGAGAAGTGACAAAAATCCTCCTCCTGCCGCAGGGAACTCTGCAGCCAAATGATGTGAGGGACCAAACCCAGCATCGTCCTGGGAGCCAACTTCTTCATTGAACTGTCTGTGAAGAAGTCAACAACTATTGTTTTTCTGAGGCCCATCATGCTATTGTTGCCCCACAAGACACATTCTATGATGGGAAAGCCCAGGCGACAACGGGTAATAATGTAACAATGGGCCTTCGCCTCATCAAGGATAACTCCAGGAAAAATAATTACAAGCAGGGATGCTCTCCAAAACCCACAGATGGCTCCACCAGCTCTTTCCCCAGAGTTAAAGACAGACCTGACAAACACCATCAGCCTCAAGGATATCAAAAGTGAAGAGAACAGGAAAAACGGGGGGAAGATGAAGACATCGCTAGCTGGACCAAAAGACTCCGAGGCAGTGAGCAGCGGGAGGGAGGATTCTTGAGTGAAACAACATCACAGCTGACATCATCCAGGCAGGGCAAGCCGAGAAACAGCTGAGCTAGCAAAACAAGCTCCCAGCAGGCTCTAGAGACAGTCCCGCAGCACAAGATAATCCTGCAATAATCGTTCTTCAGCAGCACAGAAAATTCCAGCAAAGCAGAGGCGGGATCTCAGTCAAATAGAAGATTTCTTAAGACAAAGCAAAGCAGTATCAAGACCTTTACTCTCACTCTTTGAATGAATGGATCTTGTCCTCATCCGGAATGATCTAGAAATGGCAGACAGTTGTCAGGCCTGGGTTCTGAACCCACCACTGGCTACTTATCTAAAAGTGAGCAGTTTACTCCAGGTCTGCAGACCAGTCATTCTGATTTACAAAAAGAAGGAATTGGATTAGATCTGTGGTTTTCAATTTTGTTTTAAGCATGAAGTCTTTTTTTATTACTATATCATATTTTACCTGGAAGGGCAAGATTAAAACAGAACATAAGGGAGCTTTTAAGTTGAAATGGAAGTGGCCAGTACAGAGCTTGGCTTATAGGACCCACCCATCACCCTTATGCAGCCAAGGCCCCTCCTCAGACGTCAATATTTGGAGGGTTTGGAATAGTTGGACTAGAAGCTCAGAAAAGCTTTCCAGCTCTCAAGCTCTGTGACACCATGATCCTGAGAACCAATGGATTTGGGAGGATGGTAAGACCCCCGTGGGCTAGTTGGGGTGGGCTTTGAAGAATGGGCCAAGCTGAAGCAAAGGAATGAGAGAGAAGGAAGTACTCTAGGCAAGGAGCAGAAACATGAAGCAGAAGGGACTTTCCAGTTGAAATAAAGTATTTGGATAGATACTATAGACTCCACAGTGTATGGGACGTGTGGGATCAGTGCTTCCCAAGGATGTTTGCTGTGAGATCCTGTTTCATTATATCCTATCTCAACAAATGGGAAATGCTTTCCAGTGACATCCCAAGTTGCAAATCAGACATCTTCTGCCATAGGAGCTCATTGCTCTGGCAGGTACAGGGGGTAATCCTTTACAATGATGAGTCCTCTTGCACTTTGCAAGAACCTAGTGTAGGTAAATTGTCTCCAAAATGGCCATCAGCAGTCCTGCCATCCCCGTAAGTGCACAGGGCTCCTCCAATCAAGAGACAACATCTGTTTTCCCTTCTTTTGAGTCTGGGCTGTTCTGTGTCTTGCTTCAACCAATAGAATGTGGTGGAGGGGACCCTGCCAGTTCTGGGCTCAGCTTTTCAGAGGCCTGGCAGCTTCCAGTTTCTCTCCCTTGGAAGCCAGCCACTCAGGCTTAACTACGGACTGATGAGAGAACACATGGAGAGAGAGAAAGTCAGTCCTTATGGAAAAGAACTAAGGTGTCCCAGGGGACAGTCAAGACTATGGCGCCAGACATGTGGTTGAGGTCATCTCGGACATTCCAGCCCCGGCAGAGCACCCAGATGACCTCCTGGCTGAATGCAGCCATATGAGTAACCCTAGCCAACACTATATGGAACAGTAGAACCACCCAACAGAGGCCAACTAACACACAAAATTGAGAGAAATGACAAACTGTTATGGTTTTAAGCCATTAGGTCTCGGGATGGCTTGTTATGGAGCAATCATAGAGAAGTGACATACAGAAAACTACTTTTCGATTGCTTTGCCTTTTCCAGAATGTCATATAAGTGGAATCGTAGGGCATGTGGTCATCTGAGCCTGGCTTCTTTCACTTAGCACAATGCTTCTGAGACTCATCCACACTGGCCCAAGAGTGGGTGCTTCCTTTTGGCTACTGAGTAGTATTCCTGGAGCAATTTGACAACTTCCTTTCCTGAGCTTTAAAATTTGTGTGGGTTTTCTGGGAGGGTGACCCGGGGTGGAACATCTGCTGTGATCTGGATTTTAGGGAGGGTAGGCTAACGGCATCCCTGAAATTAACAATTTAGCTTCATGCTGACCCTTCCCACCAGCGTGTCATTTGGTGGATGTGGGAGTTCTGCACAGCCAAAGAAGGGGAAGGAAGGCCAGTGGGACCCCTCCCTCCCAATGCCCACCCACTTGAGGGTAGGTTGGCACCGTTGCACACATGAGGATGCAGGGGAATTGCCAGACAGTTGTGTAACAACATCAGTGGAAGAGATAGGCAGGTGTCACAAAGCATGGGCACCATGAACCCAACCAGCTTTATCACATTTCACAGTGTTTCAGTCCTTCCCTTCCCAGCACCGATTCCATGCAGGGCCCTGAAATTGATCCATGCACTGGAGAGCCCAGGAGGGCCCCCATCCAAAACTGCCTGGGCAGGATGTGCCTTAGTCCTGCTGCCTGAACCGGGCCTCCCCGCTGCCTAGGAACTTGGGAGATTATTAGAATGGCAGGACACTCCTCTTCACTTGTGGTGCCAGTGGTTTCATGGGCATCTTTTCCTCTTTGGCAGCCCCCAGGAAGCAGAGATAACATAGCCTGTGAGCTCTGCCCAGGGGATTATGAAATAAGTTTAGTCACTCGTAATAGGGCAAGGAAAAGTGTTAGCTCCAAAACATGGCTCTGTGGGTTGGCATTGGAAAGGATAAGCTGTCAGGGGAGAAGGTGACCCTGGAGTTGGGATTCACCTTTCCCTGGAATTGCCTGTTCCTGTTGCAATGGCCTCCCCCCTCATCAGTCCGGCCCAAGGTGGCCAAATCTTCCTTCTAGTGCCATGCAGAGACTGGGCTGCGGTCCCTCAGAGAAGCATGGAGCTAGAAGGTCTGTGCTTCCATGGATGGCTCCCTGCTCAGCTCTTGCGCTCCCACAGGCCCTTCTTAACCATCAGCCAGGACAATATGCACAGGTCCCTTGATTCTTGGGAGCTCTACCAAAAGTAAGAAGCTGAGCTTGCTCTCCCAGTCTGCTGGGACCCGCAGCCTTCATGGTCCATGTTCTCATGTGAGAATTCCCCTCTTTCTTAAATAAGTTCAACAAGCAAATTTCATCAATTATGAGAGACCCAACCTTTGACTCACAGGGTCATGCTTGACTGTAACATTCCTTGAAGAAAACCAAAGCACAACATGCTCAGTAACAGCATGGGGTGGGGTAGGGTGGGGAGGTCAACATAGCAGAGAGGTTAAGGGCAGAGCCTATGAGACCAAACTGCCTAGCCCTACCACCTCCCTGCTGTGAGACCATGAGCAGGTCACTGAGCCTCCGTGAACCTTAGTTTCCATACCTATAAAATGGGGTAATAATAATGCCTAGCTGACTGGATATAATTGAGCAATAAAAGTTTAAATAAAGTAGGTATGTTGGTGCCTGGCACACAATAAGTACTCAATATATACAACATGTGTTCTTGTTGATGTATTCTTACAATGTTCTGTTAGGGACAGTGTCCAGTTGAATACAAAGCTCCCACTGATGGGACAGGCTTAGCTACCCGTCACTTCCTCATTTTCAGGCTGGGCCCCGAGGCTCAAAATCCAGACTCTGAATAGGGGCTCATAAGAATAACAGCATCATTTCCCAGAGGCTGGTAGAACTTGGCCCCATGGGCAGCCCCTTGCAAGCATATGGGCACAGGTGGGCAGGCAAGCTGGCCAGACCATCTCATTTGGGCATCAATTCCATGGGGCTGGGAAGAGAGGGCATCCAGTTTCCAAGCTGGGCAATGGAACTCGGCACTCTCACCATGACTTTATAGACTCATGTAGAGGTGCAGTCACCTACATCCCACCTCCGTACTTCGCACATGCTGTTCCCTCTGTTGTGCGCCCTTCCCTGTGCTTCACCTGGTTCACTCCATCTCATCACTCAGGTGCAGCCTAAGTGGCACTGCCCCTGAGCCACCTTCCTTGGTTTCCTCCATTGTCCTTGTCATCCCAAGTTCTTACTTTGATGGCACCTATCATGATTTTTACTTATATGCTTATTTGAAACTTTGTGGCTCTCTGTCTCTCATTCTGTCTTCATTTCCATGTTTTCTGGGTTTATAACTTATCATTCAGCACCTGGAAGAGCAATCTCTTGATTTGTTGAATGACTGATGGGATGGACAGATGGACAAATTCCAGAGGGCGATATTAGGTTGAACCACATGAAATTGCTGCTATTCAACTGTCTTTGACCTACAAAAACAGCAGTTTCATGTTTTGACCTAATATTTGCCATATGGAGAATTCACCTTCACTTATCTGTGATAGCTTTATAAATTATAAAGTGCATAGGAAGCCTTTAGTGTGGGCCCACCTCACTGGTTGGGACACCAGTATCTTCGTAAATGTAGCAACATGTGAAACACACGTAGCTGTCCTTGATTCACATGTGATGAAACTGAACAGAGTGGTTAAATGGCCTGCCCAAGGTCAGTTCTGCTCATGGTTTAGATTAGATACATGTGTGTTTACATATACCAGCAATTTTTAAAGCCCACATTCAGGAGCAAAAAAAAGCTTGGCAAATTGAGGGAACATATATTGTTGAATTTAAAACAACACAGTTAATAAAATGCTTTTGCTGTTTTTGAACTTAATGGCAAGAGGGGTTTTATTGATTTAATTCTTTATGCTCACCATTAACTCAACAAAACTGCTTTTTAATTTAACTCAAGTGCTTTTAGCTCACAGTTTTTGAATTCAATAAAAGTCATTTTAAAATTCACTTTATTGCTCTGTTCACTCCAAATTAAACATTTCCCTGAACTTGAGCAAGACCCCTTTGCAAATGGACACATTTCTGTAAATACACATTGCCATCTTCCATAATTTAAGTCTGAGCACAAGTCGATGGGCACAATCACATCAATTTCCTCATCAGTCAGAATGCTGTGGCTGATCTCGAAGACCGGTATGGGATTATTAAATTCTGACAGGTGTCTTTCTAATTTTTATTGTGATGGTACTTCTATAAATCATGCAATTTTATCCAATGGTGTTGCAAATTTTAACCGATGTATAAAACTTCAGGAGATGTGAAGATTAGCTAGCTATTGTTAATGTTAGCATCATTAACATCTTTCTGGACTACAGAGCAGCAGGTTTCATGACTCCCACGTCCAAACTCCAATGCTAGTGGTAACAGTCTATAATCAGTTCTGACAAATGCCACATTTGTTGGCTTTCCAAATCTTCTCTGGGCATTCCGCTACAACCATTTCCCCTAAAAAGCTTAAACTTGAGGTTACAGTACAAGTTCTATGTTGTATGGTATTGTTACCACATAAAAAAAACTTTATTAGCAACTTTATAATCTTAAGACTTTTTTAATACTAAAAATTCCTCAATATTGACTTTCCTATAAACACTAGCAAAAAAAAAAAAAAGATGAAAAAAGATCGTCACTTCTGTAGCCTGGTAAGTGCCAACATATTTTTATTTTTCATGTGTTCTTTTTCCTCTCATTCTTATTAATGCCTAAGAGAGTCAGTGACTTTACCTTCGTTACATAAAAAAAAAAATGCAAAGTTTTAAAAGGAGAACATTTCCCATTTTCTTGGGCTGTGGCATAAATGCCAGGACACGTTAATCTTCTGAAATCATTGATTATTAATGCATTTGTTTTATTTATTTATTTAATGCATTAATTTAATTAATCTAAAAGATTAAAGAATCAAATGCATAATTCTCTCTCCATGATGAGTATGTTAGAGTGACGTTCTATGAGACATTGTATGAGACAAAATCATTTTGTAAGGATGCTCTGTGAGGTAGAAGAGTAAGCTAACAATACTGTTTCAACTCCAGCCACAGGCACTCAACATTCTCGAAACCCAGCTTCAGTTTCTTGTGGGCCCACGGATGTACTGGTGCTGAGTGAGAAGTGTCTCCCGAGGATGGTAAGGCAGGCGGCTGCTCTTCTACCCTTCCTCTAAAAACAAGAAGACAATAAAAACATGAAAGAGTTTATTAATGAAAGCAGCAGACCAAAGACACGCACACACACACAAACAAACAAAAAACAGGAAATGAGGAGCAAAAATAGACATCGGGTGCGTATGTGCTCATGGCAAGGCGGGGGAAGGGGAGATAATTATAAAAGCATGCGTGAAAGCCAACATGTCAGGGCCATCACCAAGCTGCTCGGATGGGGCAGATGAAGTGTTTGCAGCAAAGAAGGGCAGAACCACGAAATTGCACACAGACATCCCCAAAAGGGGCCTGAGAATGGATGGCCAGTAATGTGGGTAACAACGGACAGCTCAGACCACAAACATCAACAGTGACATCAAAATTTCTTTTTAAAAAATGCTCTGTTGCTCAATCTGTGAAAATGGAAAGCAGCTAACACTTTTTCTCAGACCGCATTCATATTACAGATGTCTACACCCAGGCACCAGCTCTGCACATACGAACAGCACTGCATGTACAAGAAACAGGCAGGCATGAGGAGCTGGTTCTCTGTGCACTTGAAGATTAAAGGCTCATGAGTTGAACTGAGGCTGCAGACTTCTCCCTGGACTCTTCACCTCAATATTTAGGACAGAGTCTTTATAAACCAAGAGTAAGTGCAAGTACGAGGTCTTCTTTACCTTCCACCTTGGGTGCTGGTCAGCCCTGTGTACACAGTTCGCTCACTGTCATATTCCCCAAAGCTCTATGGTGAAGAACTTGAGCTGTACACAGAACCCTGGCTCCATCACTTGCTACCATGACGACATTGATCAAGTGGCTTAAACCTTTCTGTGGTTCCATTTCTTCATCTGGTAAGTGTGAATAATAATAGAAGCCTATTTCATGAGTTGCTATAAGAATCAAATGAGATCTTCATTTAAGGTACTTTGCAATACCATCTGGCACATAATAAGCACTCAATAAATATTAGTCAACATTATTACTATTATAGCTCTTCCCACTGGCTAGACTGCTGAGAACCCAGCCCATTTTATATCTCAGTTGTGACAGAAGGTAGAACAAACACTTCTCACTTCCTTTTCTTCTAACACCAGTTTTCCCTTTTCACCTCCAATCTATTAACTTTATTTCTGGCTAAACCATAATTTTCCTGACCCTTCTTTTCCTTTTGCTGTGGTTGCTTTGCTTACGGTTAATAGCCACCTCCACACTGCCATCACTCTTACCAATACCACCACCATACCACCACCACTACCACCATGCCACCATCAAAACCACCTCTACCACCAACACCAACACCAGGACCATCTCCTCCACCTCCACCACCTCCACCACCAACACCAGGACCATCTCCTCCACCTCCACCACCAAGACCAACACCAGAATCATCTCCTCCACCACCAACACCTACACCAGCACCAGGACCATCTCCTCCACCTCCACCACCAACACCAGGACCATCTCCTCCACCTCCACCACCTCCACCACCAAGACCAACACCAGAACCATCTCCTCCACCACCAACACCAGGACCATCTCCTCTACCACCACCAACAACAACACCACCAGGACCATCTCCTCCACCTCCACCACCAACACCAGGACCATCTCCTCCACCTCTACCACCTCCACCACCAAGACCAACACCAGAACCATCTCCTCCACCATCAACACCAGGACCATCTCCTCCACCTCCACCACCTCCACCACCAACACCAGGACCATCTCCTCCACCTCCACCACCAAGACCAACACCAGAATCATCTCCTCCACCACCAACACCTACACCAGCACCAGGACCATCTCCTCCACCTCCACCACCAACACCAGGACCATCTCCTCCACCTCCACCACCTCCACCACCAAGACCAACACCAGAACCATCTCCTCCACCACCAACACCAGGACCATCTCCTCCACCACCAACAACAACAACACCACCAGGACCATCTCCTCCACCTCCACCACCTCCACCACCAAGACCAACACCAGAATCATCTCCTCCACCACCAACACCTACACCAGCACCAGGATCATCTCCTCCACCTCCACCACCAACACCAACACCAAGACTATCTCCACCAGTTCCACCACCAACACCAGGACCATATCCTCCAAATCCACTGCCAACACCAATACCAGGACCAGGACTATCTTCACTACTTCTACCACCACCACAAACAACAATACCACCTCACCATCTCCACTTCCCCCATAATTTTCCTGAGCCACCAATTTTCCTCCACCACACCTCTACCACCATCACTACCCCGTAGTCCATTACAACCATTTATTGAACTAAATGTTTTATATCCTTAAATTCCATGTTCGGCTTCTTATTGTAATTTTATTTTTGAAGGTACTATTGTATTATTGAAACCACTTCAAAATCTTTTTGAGACAAGGTATGGTATAAATATATAGATCTATAACTAACCATTATTTAATGGAAAGACATAAAGGCAATAGGAGCCATCTAAACTGGTCTATAAATCTAAATGATTTTACTGACAGTAAATTAGTAATGCTATGTACTACTAGAAATTAAAATGTATAAGACTTACCTTATTTCTATTTTTGTTAAGTATGTGTGTATAATCCCAGGCAGGTTTCTTAAATTCTAGCAGCCTCCATTTCTTCTGCAAAATGAGATAACAGTCCCAGCAACAACCTCTTCCTGTCATGCCCAGGAGGAAGATCAGGCTGCACGGGCAAAGGCCATTGCCCATTGTTTTAGTCACTTTAAGTGACATCATACTACATCCCATCAAAGTTTCCTTCATAATTAAAATGAACTTGTGTTTTCTCTGCTTGGTAATGTGCTAATGGTGAATGCGGACCTGTCAGCGGACTGGATACTGCAGGAGGGGGGTAGAGCAGCCTCGTATGTTAGCCTTGGGGACATGGTGTGGGAAGAAATATGTGCGATGATCAAATCCCTTCTTTAATGGGGTGCCAGGCTTGAACACAGTCTACTTGGTTTGGGAGTAGAGGAATAATTGGGCCAGATCTCAGTACCAACGACCACAGAGATGAACAGCATCAAAGACAAGGGGCAAAATCAGAATCAGAGAGAATTCTGGGACCTGGAATCAGGAAATTGAGAGCCAGTGAAACCTAGCTGGTCAAGCAGATGGGAGAACGAGGTTAGGATAGGATGGGGCAGAGGGAGAAGTCCAGAGCAATTGCCTAAAGCATTAGGAGTGTTAGTCCCACCTTCATGAACTGTCAAGGGTCTGATGGGGAGGTCTACCTGGCTTGTTATAGGCTTTTTCATTTATTCATGCATTTAGACACCATCTTCCTCCAGAGAGTCTTCAAGAAGATTTAGTCTTGTCTGACCAACACCAACACAGAACCATCTCCTCTTGGAAATCACAGTGCCACCCCATCTCACTAATTCTGGTAAATCCAGGAAGAAGATCAGTCTGCATTAGAGGCTGGTCTAAATTAAAGAAAATTTTTGAGGAAATATCATTCGGCAGCAAGTTTTTCAACACTGCTCGAAGTCACAGGTTACATGAATATTGGAAAGTATACCCATGTGGACAGCAGTTTACACATTAGGTTGGATCAGGGCAAGGGAAAGCAGGGTTGCAATCATTGACTCTGGATTCTAAGTGCAGGTAAAAGCACACAAATATTTATGTCTGCAAATACCTAAAAGAATAATTAGGCTTGTTTAATAGGGCCCATGGCTAAAATAAAGGAAACAACTGAAGTCCTTTCTGTTGGAGCTCTCCAAATAGAGTGATTACCTTGTAAGGTAGTGAGCACCTGCCCACCTGGCCCAGCCCTGGATAGTCAATATGGGATGGAGGGACTTTTGGAGGGACATTGTAGAAGGGGTTAAATGGGAATAGTCACACTTAATGACCTTGGGCTCCATGGTTCTGAAAAATAACATAAATAACTAGTACCCTGCTTGAGAACTTGAAAACAGTAGGTTCATTACCCTTGTAAACTTGATTACACTATTAATTTGTTTGCCAAATTCTTTATGTAGATAAAGCTCATACTTGGTGGAAAGGTACCATTCCTTCAACATTAGCAGCATTTTAATTCATGAGGATTTTATCACATCACCAAATAATCTAATCGTAATTCAATTTATAGCCAGCACTAACCCCCCACCTCCCCGACACACACACACGCAAAGGCGATTTCTACTTGCTGATACACATGACCTGGATCTACATTATAGACTGATTTACAGATGCTTAAAAAATGGTGTTAGGCCAGGAAGATTTGTATTTTATAAGGGACCGCAATGGACCTAGTAATTACCAAAGTGTTGATTGAATCGTCTGCAGCGTGGACATGGCCCCCATCCTAACCAGTCCCCCACCACACGCCCTTCCAGCCCCGCAAAGCAAACCTGATTACCTGGCTGATCATTTTTCGGCCTCCTCCCCACTAATGCCGACTGCAACAGGATCAATATTGACTCAGTAGCAACGTGTGTTATATTAGGAAACAGAAAAAATAACCCAGAACAAACATGCAACTCAATTCAAAGAGCTGTGAAATCCCCTCCTTGAGGGTTATTATCTTTCTCAGCAAGCAGAGGCAGAAATAGTCTGCTGCTGCCTGTGCTGGGGCGCTCCCGGGCGCGGAGCACAGGATCACACAGCCGTGGTGGCAGGGCGGTGGGCAGGTAGGCGGCCTGCGCAACTGGCCCAGATTACTGTCCCCTCAGCACCCCGGGACAATAGACACGGAAAGAAGGTCTGTGCTGCAGGCTACTGCATATGGGTCTGAACATCTCCTGTGCGCAGGGCCGGCTCAATCCAGCCCAGCCCCACCTTGCAATTGTACTTGTCCCTGTGAACAAGTACAAGATGGAGCTGGGAAGGGACCACGTGTTTATTTCATGGTCTGTTTATTGCAGGGTCGGGGGGAGGAGGCACCAAGAGAAAGGTTACTTGCTGCCGGGGAACCCAAGACAGTCAGCATGAGAAAATGGCTCCCGTAGGTGGCCGGCCAGGGTGCCTCCCTTCTTCCCTTTGTCCAGAGAGCTGTCTGGGCTGGGGGGTCATTTGCCCCGCACCTGACCCAGGCGACACACCTTCCCCTACCCAGCTCCCTCCTGGCTCTATTGGAGACTCAACAAGGCTTCCCTGCACCCCCAGAGCCTCCACCTCCAGCAGTGCCCCCACCGTACCTCGGCATCCCTCCCGCCCCAAGTACAGTTTGCAGCTTCAGGGCCAGGATCTGACCCTGCTCCTCTCTCTCCTCACTCGATTGGAGCTCCTTGAGGGCAGTGACAGCATCTCGTAACATATGCACCCCAGCGCTTGGCATATGCCTTGCTCACTGCAGGTGCTCCTATGTGCTGAATGGATGAACGGACTGCTTTGAATTGACAGTTTTCAATGCAAATGTTCTTGGGAGAAAGAGCCGCATTTATGCCTTCCCGAACCCCCCTGTGGGGTGACTAAGTTTCCAAAGAAAGGGCCCAGTTCGGTATCTGTCCCTGAGGTCCCTTTAGGAAGACAGTGTTGTTTCTAAGACACAATCCCCCACTACCACCCCGGAAAGCAGGCCACCAGTGAGCAACTATAATGCACGTGAGTGACGCAGTCCGCGGGGCCCTACCTGGGTCTCCTCCATTGGCCTTGCAACCAGGCCTCAGTCAGATTTCATGCCCTTGCTGTGGTGTGGACAGAGCACTTCTTAGCTGGCCAGACTCCAACATAACCTCCAGAGTCACACTTCCTCTCTACCCAAACAACTGACTGACTAAAACCATCTTAGCAGTGACCTCGCCACATGTGCCCAAGGGTCCACCAAGTTACCGGGCTTCTGGAATGCTCTCCTCCTTCATAACCACATAAAGGACCTAGTTCCCATTTTATATCCCACGGTTCTTGTAGCTCTTCATACTTAAGATGTTGTCCAAAGCTCCTTTCCTGAAGGCTTGAATGTTAAGGGGAGGCATTGCATCCTGGTTCTAAAGCTTCCTTCCCATATTTTTCCACAAGGAATCCTTGAGCTCTCTCTCTCTTCTTGGGCCTCATAGGCCACCGTGTTGTCGGGGTATGTTCCTAATTGTACATCTTTTCTCCCCTTCTCTCTTGCCTTTTCGAGAATCACAGAGGCCTGTTTCCTGGCCTGTGAGGGAAACACCACAATCCCTTCAAATTCAGAAGACAAGCAGTCTGATCAGGCAGGCTACTCTTTAACTTGTACACAAAAAACAATTTATGTTCATCTTCACTCTCGCCATTACAAGAGGTCCAAGGGGAGAGGGGCCGTGTCAGTAGGCAATGCTTTCAGCCCCTAGAGACTTGTACCATGGGAATCCGCAAATCCGGGAGACACATCACTTTCAGTAAGTCTCTCTAACCAGGTTCTCTCCCAAAGAGCAAATGGCTTCTCTTAACCAGATTCACTCAAGTATTTAAAATGTGGTACTATAAGCTGCATCAAATATCCTTTGTATTAGAGTCGAGTCCAAATGCAAAAATAAATAAAAAATAGAATAGTCATCACTCCCTCTGTAAATAAAACAGAAGTGAGCTGCCCTTGTAACATTTTTGATTCTGTCCCAGAGTACCCGGAAATGGACAAGTATACATAATGATGTCAACAACGTACATAACATCGAATGCACAATTTCTTAGGATACATTGTAGTCATTCATTTGTCCATTGCTCCGTCCCAGTGGGCCATCAACTCAAGGACAGGGCATAGATCCCCAGTGCCCGGGAGAGTCATCTGCTAATTGTTTTTTGAATGAATGAATGAACAAATTAATAAATGGGTGAATGAATGTAGATACAGCCTCAAATCCCCCCATGGATGTCATACATGTTAAGTTGTATATGAAGTAAACCTCGAAAATGAATGCTATCAATGCTAATGAGCAGTCTGACTTTAGTTTGATTACTTTCTAAATATCTTTTTGCTACAGCAGGACGACTTCAGAGATAGGGACCCAGGACTGCCAGGTGATTGATTGGCCTGCAGGACCAATTGGAGCACCCACTTGCTCCAAAATTGATGGCCCCAGCCCCACCGAGGGACTGCAGTTTTTCATTATATGAAATGGAAAAGTGATTTAATAATTCTTTCTGTCTTATATTGCTTTAAAGAATTTCAGACAGTTAAAAACTGCATGGATTTTTTCACCATCTGTGTGAGAGTGGGGAAAAAAAAATGCTGGTTTGGTTTTTCCTATTTTTAATATGAGCCAGATGAAACAAAAAGATTGTTTCCCTGCAAACTATAGGTCAAGTACCTATAGAGGCTCGGGGATGCTCTGTAAGTTATCATATTATCTTTCTTCCTTGACAGGATACCATTAGATTGTGTATCATTTCAACATTTATTATCTTTCATGTCCTTTTATCTTCACACTAGGATTTCTTTTAAAATTCCGATCTGTGCATTTGGTTTCATTATACAGCACTGTCTTTTACCAAACCAGTTTTTGATTGGCTTTCAATATTCTTCAGTTTCACATTTGTCATATCAGCCTGAAACAGTGCCCCAGTTATGTCTGTTTTAGCTTGTTAAAAAGAAACCCATCCAGGGAATGAAGTGTTGGGAGATCACACCTTTAAAGGTAAGCATTATGCATCCTGGAGAAATGGAAATGGCTCAGTGGGGAAAGGCAAGCATTGCAGAAAATAAAACAAAAATGTTGAAACAAAATGCAACAACTGGTGTTTGTTTTTTAGGATCATGTCAATGGTTTTACCATCTGGAAACATTCCAGAGACTACAGCAATTTTCTCCTGTGGCCCATGTGGGGATATGTCCTGATTCACAAATGGGTAGCCCAACCCAAGTGCGAAGTGCTCCGAAGTTTCCGTTGCTTTCAGAATCAGCAACATAAAAAGATTCTAGAGGAATATGGAAGGAAGGAAGGAAGGAAGGAAGGAAGGAAGGAAGGAAGGAAGGAAGGAAGGAAGAAAGAGAAAAGAAAAAAAGAAAGAAAGAAAAAAGCTTTCAGCTTACTCTACTTAGTTCAAAACAGGACAGCCTATGTTTGCATGACTACCAGTGGCCTTGTGAAGCATCTAGACACTGTCTTAGGATGTTGAGGACTTGTTCAGATCCATTTAGATGTCTTCATTTCTACCATAGTTTTACTAAGCTAAAGGGATTTACATCGCAGGAAATTTGAAGGGTTTTGGAGAAATGCTTCCAAGCCTCTATTGCAATGTTGTCAATTAGAGTTGCGTGAAGCATAACAGATTGGCTGGACTGGGACGTGTCATTTCAACAGAGCCTGACACCAACCAGAGCAATGCGGGGCCCTGACATCATCTTACACGAGAGATCCTCAAGACATTGTTGCCCCTGCATCGTACTGACAAAGAGAAGAGCCTTCAAACAAAAGGTGGAGTTATACAGTAATTTTTATGCATCAGAGTGAAATGGACATTAAAGAATTTCGAACAATGCCTGACTCAAGGAATTGAGTTTGAACAAACA